AGGAAAACTAATGAACGAATATTTTGATAGGAACATTCCTAACAATTCTACAAGGAAAGGGATATCCTTGCAGGAAGGAGAAAGGTGGAGTTCTGCCTATGCTACATTTTTTCAAGAATTGTACAGTCTTTTGTAGGACACAGGAAGAGGATACGGAAGTTTCTACAGGAAGAAAGAGAAAAGTTCAAATATAAACAGTAGCCAAAAATTTCCAGCAGGTCATTAGATTTCCTCTTGCTTGATAAGTATTTCAATATAAACCAATATATTTTACCTATAAAGTTAGCGTGTTAAAATGCATTTGCTAAATGTGTTAAAGAAGGACATCTGTAAATAATGTTTATACTGCATATGCCAGATTGTAGGGCCTACTGTGGATTCCACTGATGGCTGAAGAAAACGTAAGGAGATTTTTAAAAATAAAGCCTATATTTGGGAAGACAGAGCTTGAAATAAACCTACAGAAATTATGCTTGCACATGGGGTAGAAGGATTACTATTTGTGACTATTTGTCTCTCTTTTTGTAAGTGGCACTGGAGGATTACAGTATATTCCTGTGCTCTGTGCTTGTGTGTCCCAGCTAGGAATACACAGATAGTAATAATCAATCTATTTATCAATAATTTTCAGTGTTCCTAAAATGGTATGTCACTAGATAGAAAAGGTTTGTCACCACTAAGTCTTGGGCTTTTCAGATTATTAAATTCTGGATGACACTTAAAAACCTGCAGCAATGCAATGAAGTACATATTTTAAAAACTGCCATGAATTTCCTGGAACCATATTTTTCAAAGTGTGGTTCTCAACAAAGATGTTTCCCCAGAAGAATCTGGTCACAAAAGAGCTGAAATCATCATAATAAAAAAGAACTATTTGAATTGCTTCATTGTTTCTCCCCAGTTCAATATATTTTGTTTTCTCTCTCTCTGTCGAAAGCAGAATAAAGAATCCACAGACACAAAAGTATCCCAGGATCACCCTATTGCAATTCATCAGAATAATGGCTGAATTTTTCCAACACAATTTTGGGCGGTTTTGAAGTTTTGATGAAGTTCTAAGAGTTGGAATGATAGCAGCTGGCCCATGAGAGGTTTCCTGAACTGCTTCCCTTCATTAACACTTAACACAAAACCCCCTCCTCTCCCAAAGCCAAAGACTTTTCTATTGTATCATTGCAGATCTTTGCAGTGCTGCTGAAAATGGGAGCCTTTCAGAAGCTGTCCTTTTTCCCCCTAAAGAGCTTCTTTTAGATATGCTTAGTGGAAGGTGACTACATCAATGCTCATTTATGTTCCTACTGGTTTTTTTTAGAAACATAATCGTTTTGCAACCACTTTGTGGGGGGAGTCAATAATGGTAAATTAAGGACACAAATTATTGCCTTCCACAACTTACAACTGATTATGTCCTATATATCCAGGAATTAGGAATTAATTGTTTGTTGGCCACTAGTAGAAGCAAAAGCAAGAAATCTGTGAGTGAGCTTGACAATCTTTTGTACAGGTTTCAAGATTAGACACAAATTACTATCTTTTCCTGTATACCTTATTTATGTAGTGTAAGCCAAAGGGTAAGAAAGCAGAAAATAGGAACAGAAAAATATGTTTTCTTCCAGAAAGTACTTTGCAAATGTAGAAATACCTATCTGATTCTACTTCTTATTTATTTATTTATTTATTTATTTATTTATTTATTTATTTATT